TAACAAATGAGAACGAATATATGCTTATTCTCTAAATCGGCACAATAGAGAAATTGCGGCAAATTGGAAAAGCATTTTTTTAAAATAGATAACAATTCTCAAAGAAGTTTGAAATTCCAAAAAGAACTTCGATTGTGTATATCTGGCTATCGCGACGTTTACAAACAGCTGACCAAACGACCGTCGTCTCAAAAACTTATCACCGACTACATGTTAACAAAAAATAAATCAACTGTAGTATCTTCAAGTGACGAAAGCGATTACGAACCAGTTCATCGCAAAAATATGCGCGTTTTGAACTACGATGAGTAGTATTGAATTATGTACATTTTGAAAATTTCTCCTTGTTTAAAATTAGAAATTAAAATTTTTTTAAATGTTTCATTGTGTAATTTAATTATTTATTTTGTTTGGAAAGCACTTTCTTGCTATTTTGTGAAGCTTTGGCATATTTTCTAAGTGAGACTTTTTTTATGCGGTCCCTCTCTACCGCATAAAAAAAATTTGCTTGAATATGCTGTGAAAAATTATTTCTTATAGCTATTTATGAAGTTTTTGAATATTTTTTTTTTGTGCGGTTTTTTTTCTGCGGTCCCTATCGACCGCACAAAAACAGGTTTGCCTGTATTTGTTGATGGCTTGATACACTGATGGCCAAACAAAAGGTGAAGATATTAGTTTTTATGTAGCCCGCATCCCAGGAATTGACAAACCATGAAGCAACCTGAAAGTGGGTTTTCCAAAGTTTGGCTAAATTTTGAAATGTTTTGATTATAATTTATGCAAGTGAGTCGTTTCTGGATTGTATTTTGATCATTATTCATGCAAGTGTGGCGTTTGTAAAATATGTTGTATCAAGTGTGAATGAATGCACAAAGCCTTTTTAAGCTAAATTGAATAGCAACCTCGACACTTTTCCGTACGTAGTTGTAGCAGACGATGAAAAAATTGATCTTGCAAAATATGGTGATAATGCATAACGAGAGCCAATTCGTGTTGTTGTTGGCCATATACTTGGTGTGGCCAGAAGACACTTGTTGAGTTTATACGTAATCTTTTACATCTAATTTTTTTCTTTTCTATTGAAACTTTGCCTTCTCCTGCTCCCCTTTAATTGTTCATTATCATTATTTGCGAATTTCTGCTAAAAGTGAAATTATTACCTTCAGCAACCTTATTGTTTGCTTTTTACAATAGAGATTATGGCGTATGTAGATGAAAATTTAACCCTTACAATAAACAAAATATGAAAACGGAACAATATATTTTATAAGAAAAGTTGCAAAGTTATATCGTTTTTTAAATTTTATTAATAAAATAAATAAATATGCATTCATTCACATATTAATCTAAGTTTCTAGTAAAAAATTTCAAACAGCAGGATGAAACACCATAAAAATATAAACAAAATAAAAATGTTGCGGGTAGATTTTTTCTGAGCTGTTGTTTATTTTTATAGAAAGGTATATGGATTTTGCTTATATTGAGAAAAAGACATGTAGATTTTGTTTATTTTCATTCATTTCACATTAACATCATAATTTTCACATTTATTAAACACAACTCTTTGCTGTCTCCATTCTGAACATATGGTAAGCGCTAAAACGAGTATTTCCAATTAAAAAATTACCAAAAAAAGCAATATACTATTAATTAAAAAAATACATATAAAAAAAGAAAAATTAAATTGTATAAATATTCTTTAAGTAGTGTAAGAAAGTCTGCAAAAAAATAAAGCAATAAAAACTTTTGCTGTTTTAAATAAAGAAGTTGTAAGAAATTAGCAGTAAATTCATGCATATATTTTTATATTTTAACATGCAGACTGTGGACTCCAGTGGACCTTCGGTAACTAAAACCACTGGTGAAGAGTTGTTGTGTATGGGAGTGGCGGGACCATTGGGTAAAAAGAGGTATGCGGCCGAAAGCTCCCCTTTAAAACGATTACCGCACCTAAAAAATTGTACTCTTGCGGGTGTACGTAATTCGCTTTCTTCAAGTTGTATGGATTTAATCATTCCCTCACTAGTAAAAGCGACAGTGATACCAGAAGATCTTGATCTTAGAGATATTTCACGATGATCCGAAAACGTAACTTTTTTAGGATATTCAACCAGCTGCGTAACAAAGCGAGTGGATGCATAAAAAAAATTATTTACAAGTATTGCTTTAAAAGTGTCCTTAATGTATAGTTTTGCATTTTTTTTCTTCCTTGCAAACGCTACGAAAACTTTACGATCCATTAGATTTATCAAGATTGCGATAAATGAGAGATATTGACTCAATCGTTCGTACGCTAACATTTTGGACTTGTCCTCTGTCGCAAACCGTTTTAAACGTTTCAAGATGTTACTCTGTTAGGGCGTAATTTGGTTAAAACCTTGGAATCTTCTAAAAGATTTGTTGCCTTCTAACGATAACTCAGGGCATCAAGTCTTAAATGTTTTTTGTCAACGCAGCACATATTTCTACATTCGTCTTCACTTTGTTACATGTTCTTTTTTATTATGCAATGAGCATAACGCCTGTGACTTAAATAAATACATCAAAGCACTGTATTGCGCTCCGGCCAATGGAAATGTAATATATAATCTTTATTATATAAATGTATCAAAAATATAAATTCATCTCCCCTTGTACGTCTCCTGAATAGTTTTGTACAATTTTTATAGGCGTGGCATTCGATTTTACCCTATTTTCAAAAAAAAAATGATAACTCTCTTTCCATATATATTGAAAGAAATGGTTTGGTTGAAATGTAATATATAATCTTTATTATATAAATGTATCAAAAATATAAATTCATCTCCCCTTGTACGTCTCCTGAATAGTTTTGTACAATTTTTATAGGCGTGGCATTCGATTTTACCATTGTAGTAGATTACGAAACACTTTGTATTCTTCTCTCTTCTTATATGTACACCCTGCACAGTCAAAGTTTTCTGAACAAACTAGTAGTCGGTATATATGTATATATGCATATGTATGTATATACAAGCAAACGATGTGAACAATAACTAAAGCTCGGTTTGTTGACTTTGTTGTAAAACTTGAGCAAAAGCCGGTGGCGATTTAAAACTTAGACCTTCTGTGAAGACCAATTCTTTTCATTTTTCAAACGGCAAATCCATGTCTTCGCAACTTTGAAGAGTAGTGAAATCTGTTCATCACTGGAATCATGATATTTTTCTTTGCAAGATTCATGGAGCATTCAATTATTAATATACTAATCCCTATGCACACATGCTGATTATATGTTTGTTTGATTGTGTTATAGCACTCAATTCTGCTCTACCTCTATAGTTACAATAAAAAATACGAATTTGAGAGAAGGAAGGAATATGCTACAATTTGGTGAAAACAATATAAAAGGCCATATGACGTCAAAATATAAGAGAACGTAACGTAATCATAAAAAT